CTTTGAATCCTTAATTCCCTTTGAAACTCTCATTCTGGGAGCAAAATGGCGAGAACGAACCGTATTCTTCGGCTGAATGACGTATTGAGCGAGTTTTGTATGCCGTTGCGTCCGCGTGTGGCTCATCCGGAGCCTATGCCTGCTTATACGTAATACGTTCTTCTCTCTTTTCTCTTGGTACGTTCCTTGCTCACGCGAAGGAGAGGGCCTCGACGCGTGTGTTGCTCTTTTTCTCCGTTCCCGCCTTTTCTGTCCCGCTGTTCTCGAAGCGTGTTGCCTACGTTCCGCGGGTCGCGTGGAAGCTGTTCGCGCTGATGTCGAAATCTTACGAGAGTTCTCTGGATATTTGTCATCGTGTATTCACCTATTTTTGAACGAAGATTCATTTTCTACCGAATTCAGTATTTTTCGTAAAGAATAATAATGGTAATTATAGTAATTGGAATTCAGTATTATTCGAAAAGAATCATAATAGTAATAGGAAACTTGGAAAAACTTCACGATTCATCGCGGGATACGTTGTACAGTCAAAGACTGTCATTCTGTCGCCGATTACCTGTCCGAGCCCCGTAATTACCCTCGTTATGCGGCGGGCCGAATGAAAGGAGGGTTGTGGCCGGGGAAAGGGTGAATGGGGTGGGATACGGGATCCGAATCGCACGGGAATAGGGTGGGCGATCTCGTGGACTTAATCGGGCATCGGTGCTTTCCTTCCCGAACAATTGACGTCTGACTTTGACGCGGCCTCTGACACTTTCTCCTGATTCTCTTTCTTCCTCGTTCCTTCTTTTGTTCGCCGGGAAGAATCGGTGGAACGTGAGACCGCGTGGTTCCGATCGATGGTTCACCGTTCCCCCCATTCCAGGGGATTCTGCGACTTACACGAGAAATTGTTGGCCGGTAGCATTTTTTAACGCAGAATCGAAGGTACGATCACGAGATGGCTCTAAGTTTCCAAGAAACGTCCATAATACTCTGTTTTCTTTTAAAAGAAGAAGGTTTTAGTAACGGGCTTTGAGGCACAATTCGCTGCCACGGTCTGTTTCTTGCGTACGACAGTAGTTTACAATTGCTCCTTTGGAAGCTGACCGTTAAATACAAAAGAAGATACTTTATGAAAGACGAAGAGAATCTCATACTGTCTACAGTATAATAGACCACAGAATGTCTTCTCTCGGCACCGATTTGTCGGATCATTCTACTTAAATCATGGTCAGACGAGTCTCCTCTCCTCCGTCGAATCTTTAGTCTTTCAGTCGCTGGACTATTCTACTTAAATCATGGTTAGACAAGTCTCCTTTCCTCCGTCGAATCTTTAGTCTTTCAGTCGCTGGACTATTCTACTTAAATCATGGTCAGACAAGTCTCCTCCTTTTCTCCGTCGAGTCTTTAGTCTTTCGGTCGCTGGACTATTCTACTTGAACGTTCTTCTTGTTCCCTGTCGAATGTCTTCCGTCCCAAACGTTCCGTTCCACCATAAGGAGTTTCGCGAAGCCGGGTGTTAACGAGGCGCTCGACAGAATCTCGCCCCGTTTCGAGGCCAAGAATTCCACATTATCGGCCGGGTTTCCCGCGGATACAATTTCCCCCAACACAATTTTCTTTTCAGTCGCCCGAGCGAATCTAGTTCTCGGCCTCGCTGGTGGGTGGCAAATGGTAAAAGGGAGGTGGGGTGAGAAAGAGAAAGAGTTAGCTTTGATGGAGGGAGGGGCGGGGAGGGTGAGGGCAGAGCAGCGCAGCCCATATTCGTGCATTGTGGCACGTTCCATCGCGTTCTCAACTGAACTGAACTCGACTCAACAGTGGAGGACACAATGGGCGGTATGAATAAGTATAACAGACAGACACCGGTACAGACAGACACAGGTAGCTCAGGCCGCAGTATGTGAATGAGGAACCCATTTGATAACACGCCTCCACAGCCACCCAGGTCCATTGTGTCGCTTCCTATTCAGCTGCTCTATGCCCTCTTCTCCTCCTATCCCCTCTACGCCTCCTTCTACACCCCCACCGTTTCTCCTGCTACTTCCTCACCCCCTTCGTCCGCTATCTTTCCTTCCCTTCCGTCCCCCCTGTCCTCGCGGCTCGAGCCGATATCGCTTTGGAAATCTTATCCTGTCTAGGGCTGCACCTGTACGCGTGAAAAACCGTCTACGCAACCGTGGTTCTTCTCTGGACTCGGTCGAATGTCCCTTTGATTCCTCGTTCTAATGCTCCGGCTAAGCTAGTGTCACCAATCTGGACAAAAACTACCAACAGGTTTATCCCGTCGAACCTCTGATACGGTAGTTCCGTTTGAAAATGCGTGGAATGCTTATGTCCGATGGCAGGACGAAGAGACTTTGGCTCTTCTACGTTAGTATCCATTTTGTACAAGGGAATGGAGAGCAACGAGATGCCAGTGGACGTGGGCCAACCGTGTATACAATCTTTATCTACTTCCCTGTTTAGTCGTGTTATTACTTTCGCGAGCTTTACAGCCTTGTCACGGGGCGGAGATTGCTCGCCGGATAAATCCTTCGTGGAGATGCTGTCGTAAGAATTTTCATCATTTTTTTACAGTCGCGATTCACAGGCTTTCGCGCCGGGGCCTTTCCTTTTCGCCTCGTACCTCGGTCGAGACGCGCGATAGGATCGTGAACCGGACGTGTCCGTTTGGCGTGTTCCGCCTTCTGTCAAATTCCAGGCTTCGGGAAATTTTCCCGCCGTTCTGACAAAGTATTCACTTTCTTTCCACTGTAACACCGATCGAAAAAACGTCCCTGTACCCGGGATAAACGGGAAATGGAATCGACAGTGGGCAAGTCCAAGCGAATATTTATCCAAATTGAATATTCACGCGGGAACCGGACAGAGATTTCGGCGTTGAAAGCGAGTTTCCCGGGCGCGTCGTCGGCCCCCCCACGAATCGATTTTCTAGTCAATACCGGGGTCCGAATCGGACCGACCGCCAACAACGATTTTCGGGATCTCGGTAGCATAAATAGCAAATAGCGAAGGTCCCTGTAACTGTGGTGATGGTGGTGGTTCCCGTGGACCAGCGAAAGCGCGCGCGAGCTAGCCATCCACCGAGCTAGCTCTCCGTGCTCGCTCCGGGTACGTACGTGTACGGTGTACACCGAGTACCGATAACAATGAGGCAGAGACAAAGGCCAGGTACAATGCTGATGTTGAACTCGACTGATTTCGACGATTTTTGGCCTTTGCATGTGCATCGCGCGTTACTCGACAATGATTCCCGCATACGTAATCATCGGTATGGGGCATGGGAAGGCTGGTACACTACGCGGAACCAGTGGCTCTCACGTCGCGCCCTCTTTTTCCCCTCTCTCGTTCAGTTCGGTATTCGGCTTCGTATAACGTCCCGTTTCGTTCCCGTGTGTACACCCGTCCCGTTGCCGTCTCTCTCGTCCGTCCATCCGAAGGGAGGTGTGGAGGGAGGGGAGGCTTTTCAATGCATCTCTAACGCACAATGACGCCGCGCCATCGCGATTCCGCGAGCCGTTTATCGGTTTAAATACCAGCACAGGCCGGATAATAATAATTGTAAGCGATAGCCGATTTATGCCCGCAACCAGTCGTGTTTCTAGCGTGGCCCCGCTACAATGTATCTAATCAATGGCAGTTAATGCCAAAGCGACGTGGCTATTTAAATGTGAAACTGATAATTACCGAACGGGGCCCTCCGCTGCTTAATATTCCGCGATCGTTCGCTGCGGGATTCTCGTCGATCGTCCGCTGTGTGACGGAGAGTCGATCGAGTTTCGGCTAAATCTTGTGTGTATCGCGTCGATCTGCTTGTTTTACGGTTCTTAGTTAGACGATGAATCCTATATAGTGGAAGATTCAAGTAGTTTTGGATCTTCATCTATGCAGGATCCATAATCTCGAGGTTAAAGGGAAATGGGATTTCCCTCGAAATGTCTTCGCTACAAATTCTTACATTCCTTTTGATCCGTCTAAAATATGCACCATTTTTCCGACTTTCCGATGATCAATGATTCCGAGATTATTCCGAATCGTTCATCTTCCCTCGATTTCGTTCCAACGATTGACGTGTGACGGAGAACGCTTTACAATTTTCAATCGTACCGTCATCGTCGAACAGAATCTCGATCCACGGAATATCAAAGACCATCGCCGGGCCCTTCAGGAGCAGCTTAACTTCTCGTTATTTTTTTTTTCTATTTCGCGTGAGGGTTTTTTTTCGAGAATCGTGAGCGAGAGGGGCCGATCGATTGAGCACCCCTGACCGCACCTGAATAGATACATTGTGCCGGGGCAGCCTATTGACGGGCGATTGTTCCCTCAACAATAACAACAATATCTGAATGGTCGTCGTGCACATCTCTCGCGCGTTGCACGCACCCACGCACGTACGCGCGCTCGCGCACGCATGCATGCGTGCGTGCATCCCTTTGCGCCAGGGAGAGACAGGCTCAGGCCTCGCCTCCTGCATCCCTTCACACGTACCGTCTCTTTGCGCGATCGCACGTACCACCCTTGCGGGGAAACGAGGGGTTAGGGGTGGTGGGAGATTCTCGTTCACCCCCGTGGACACGACTGAATACTGGGTCACCGAGAAATGGAACCTCGTCGCGCTGCATTAATTAGTAACGCGTTAACTGTCTTCTACGAGTGTGTATCGGGTCAGAGAACGGATTCACTGTCTTTACAATCGGAAGATTTCACCAAGTTCAGAATGGGTTTCGGTGTTACAGCTAGTTCAGACGATACAGTTTTACGCTAGAACTACCAAATCCGTCAAAGTGACGGACTTCTAAAGACGCTTTCGTTGGGCATTCAGGTTAACCTTTAATTTATTATATATTTTACATTGCACTATATTGTGTAATACTTTATTATTCAGGGTGGAGTTGGCTATTACCTACTTCTCCAGCGTAACGATTCATCGATCGTTGGGGCGAGATGATGAATGAAAATCCTATGCTTAATGGGGGATCGGTTAAATAATTGAGCGTAACACGGCTCTGCACACCTCGTTGTAAAATATTGTTTATTACCAGCTTATAAACAATGGTCAGTAAAGACTCTGGCGAAATGGCTTTGGTACGATTATTACAATACTCCGCGAGCTGCGCGCGTTACATTTATCGTGAAAATGTATAAGCCAATTACAATTATAACGCACTGGTCGATTCTTCGTAATATTATAATAGGTTGCTACATCGTCGCGCACAAAGAGCGAGCGTATTTAATGGAACGTCCTCCCATCCCCTCCCCGTTAATAATTCGACTCCGCGGGGTTTTAAAAAATAAAAAAAAAGGAAATAGGAGGACCTCACGGGCTGGAATTATCGCGGTTGACGTCGATTAATGGATCGTTATCGACGGTTCGGATGAGCTCCGCCCGCGACGATTTCGTAGCTCGTAAAACGGGAACGCGGGTATCTCCCGTCGAGCGATTCGTTCGTCTGTAAACATCTTCCTAAAATCATTCTAGAACTTCCAGCATGCGTGAACACGTTCAGACGAAGATTGTTAAAGATATATATATATCATTTGGTTCATCCTCTCGTATAGAAAAGTAAATCGTTTTGCAACGTATAGGCGCTAACGAAATCGGTCCCTTACGTTTTGTGAAACTACTATCTCGAAAAATATCTCTTCGAATCGTTCGACGAAAGAGAGAGCGCTCGTAAAAATATAGTGTTGACAACGGAATAATACACGGAAAACAGATAGAATCGAGCGATTCGCTACGTATGCACGGGTTGCATAGCAAAGTAGCTCTTATCCTTCGACGATTACCATATATGTATATAAAAAAAGAAAGGAAAACGTGAGTGTGTGTAAGAACAGCGACGATCGCAGCCCGTAACCGGCCATCCGATAATCGACAACGAATATCAATTGTCAGATACACGAGGCTAACGGAACGTAAATCGCCACAATTGCCCGCGCGACGATTAATATATCGAACAAAACCGGCGCATCATGAGGGAATCGCGAAATCGAGCAATTTTTTTTTATTGGAATTCGTGTCGATTGTGTCCGACAATCAATCATATCCAGTCAGCGTGATACCGGTGCGCCGACAAAAAAAAAAAAAAATATACAATCTTGCGTACCAAATTCGTCGTATCACGCTTCGAACGCCAGCCTATGTACAGTCTGTTTGATTGTTTTTTCTTCTCGTTTCGTTCGTTTATAAATTAGTACGGATCCGGGAACATTCGCGTGCGGGATCGTTGTCACGTTTCTTCGAGGAACGCGTCTTTCGTCGTTGACGATCTCGGTTTCATTCCGTGGACTTTTGATTTCTTTCACGAGCCGGCTGCCGCTTTCTGGTGTCTATCACAGTTCGTTATCCGCGACGTCGTCCATGTTGTCGGCGATGCTTTCGCGGGTCGGTGTCGTTAAAACAGATACGGCGAGGGTTCGCTGAAGCCGCAGTCCTTGCAGCTTCTCTGTAATCAAAACGAACAGAATTTTTTCATTCGGAATAATCGAGTGTTTCCTTGTTCTCGCGCCGTCTACGATCGCATTTCTAAACGAGGCCATTCAACGTGAACATGCCTCGGGACGATTTTGTTCGGAATTTTTTCGAGTCGCGTAAAATGGCACAGTCTTGACGTTGCGAAAACGGACCGACCGAATCCGTCAGCCTCGCTACGATTCAATACGGTTCTGGTTCCCAAAATATTCTCTATAATTTCATCGAACTCTGGTGTTTCGTTTTGGTCAGTCGACGATAGAATAATTCACCATGCAGAATTATCTGACTGCTCGATATCGCCAGGTTCACGACAAAATCAAGGACGTCAGGATACCGAAGCTGAAAAGTAAACTCCCGAAAGTAAGATCGATCGCGAATATTAATTCACGGCACTTTTTTTTTGTTTTCCAATACACACGTCACAAAATATTTTCATGGCTTCCCAGAATATCAATGTGCTGTCCCTATTGGACCATGTATCGACTCCGGACATGATGAACAAACTCTCGGTAGTCGGTTCGAAAATCACGCAGTTCGCAAACAGTAATTACTGGCGGAAATCTTTGAACTTGAAGTATTGGACCGTCGGGCTGATCGTTTCGCTGCCGATGTTCTATCATTTGCAAACGATGAGGAATCCGGCTAAGTTAGAGTGTCCCCGAAGAAACGTGGAAACAACGCAGACGGCGAAGATCGACGTGGTTCGTGCCGAGGGAAACGTCGCGCGCCACGCCGAGTGATTCGAGCGGAAACGTTTTCGAAGACACTTGGTGTGCTGCCTATGATGTGGCTCTTAACGTGAGCAGAAAGAGGCGTGCGAGTGATTTACTCTTGGCGGAAGGGGGGCAGAAAGATCAGGAAATTTGATTTCAAATCGCACGTAATGATTCTTACATCTAGAAGTAGTTAAGAGTAATTTTTTCACTTGTTAGTGGTAACCGTTGGGGGACAACTAGCGGATAGATGTCCAACCGACGTAGGGTTTTCGTGACGATATCGCAACGCAATGATAAATATAAATTGTAAACGTCTTTCGTACGTGATGTTGCAATAATAAAATGGCTGTACTCTCGTGTAACGTTTGGTGAATATTGTGGGTAGAACGTTTTGCTTACCGTCGGGTATTCCTCTGTCAGTCCGTACTCGCCTAGGCGGTAGTACACCGATCGGTTCTCCATGAAGCTTTTGAAATCGTATCGGGGCATCATTGGAATCCTCATTTGCCAGAACGGCTCTCTGATGTTCGCGCCCAAATTCAGTATGTCCCGTTCTTTATAGTAAATGCGAAACGGCGGATTCGACTGGAAGGAAACGGTTTCGTATTGGTTGGATCACTTTCGAACGTTTGAATTCGACCTATGGCGTACCTTGTCCTGTTTTTTCGGAGCCTCCTCGGCTGGTGTGTCCGGCCTGGAAGAAGCCGGCGTTTGTTCCGGTGTCGTCGACTCGATAGAAGGTACAAGGCTGCTGACTCCACTCGATTCGCTGCCGGTGCTCGGTGAAATCGGTCCGCAACCAGTCAATGTTCTCAAACCTTGCTCGTATAGAATTCTCGTTCCCATCGCGCAAAAGTGTTCGGCCTCCAGGCCGGACAACGGTAGAGCTATCGTCAGTGCCATTTCGCGAATTTCTTCTCTCTTTGATCGTTAATTTATTGTACGTTGAAGCTTCCGAAACTTGTCGATTTCGTTCGTCGACGTCACACGAATTACGATTATGTTTCCGACGAGTTAATCCAGACCGTTACGACGCCGACCAACAACTGATCGAATGTTTGGGGTTATTCTCCTTCCTCCCGAGGATCTACTGTCTTGTGCGTTTACAAGTGTCTGTTGTATGTGCCTGAGCTGGTGTTTGTACGTAAACATGACCTTCTTTGATTCGAGTTTCAATTACGAATGTGTGCTCTTAATTGCGATAATAATGCGGCAGAAATATTGTGTTCTTCCTTCCTAAGGAAATTGTGTACGTTCGTATATTGGCAGGCGATCGTTCATAGTGGCCTGGATAAATTTTATTTTCGTATTATCGTTTCTTCGAGGAGTTTGAATTCATTTTATTAAAAGTTCACTCGCATTTATATGTCAAATATAATATTTTGATGAAATTATGTGTACGCTGGTAAAAAACTGTAGCGCATCAGTTGCGACGTTACCGTCGGGGATCTATGAATCATTGTCGATAAAATTGTACAGCTTCGTTCTTTACCGACAGCAGCTATCGTTCCTGCAGTTGCAACAAGCAGCTGCACCGACTGTACGGTAGAATGTTTCTTTATCGACTGCTGCATATGTTCAATCGCATACAAGGTGTCGCCGTATAGGATTCCTTGTCCCAAGGGGATCTGCTGTATCGACGCGTTAAATGCCCAGTGATTTTAACAGCTTAAATTTAATATTCTTATTTACATATTATCCTATCTTTTACAATTCTTCGCTTGGTATTTGAGTTAGTACTTTTGGAGCTTTTATAAATGGAATCGTTACATCGATTGTTCTTCTCATACGGTCGTCTGAATTCTCCGTCCGATGGTAGTGCAGACTTCCTCGTATTGTTCGTTCAGCGACCTCTTCATGTTGCCACACTTGGTTCCCAGAGGGCTACTAACATGAACCCTTTAGAGAATTTCTCGCTGATGTTTTCACCCCTATTTGTTAGTATATAAGGAAGGTTCAGGAAGATTGCTTCCGTGGTCCGGTGCTACTCAGGGATGTCAAGTAAAAGAAGTTTTTCCGGACTTTTCATCTCCAGCGGATGAATAAAAACGGTTTCATCCCCTCCCGTGTTATCGCATATTCTTCGAATTCTTCAATGATTTTCTACCAACCTGGACCCTGCCGTTTCCTGCGGGGGTTGCCGCAGGGGACGTGGTATATGTTGGAACGACTGTTATAAAAAGAAATTTCAACCTCCGCAGATTCCGGAAAACAGGCTTTAACCTCTGACTGTAGTAGTTAAGGTACGACCACTCTTTTGCTGCGTTAAATTTTTTTGCAAAATTCTTGTTGCAATTGCACAGTCTACCAACCACGTGGTCGTTTGTCTGTTGTACAGTTAGAGCATTATTATGTAAATGTATCTACAACCTTCAAACAGGAGTATACTTTATGAACCGTCAGTCGTTTCATTTACGAAGGAATTGTTTGTCGACTGAAAATAAACCCTTTCTGGATACCTAATAACTTGATACATCAAACGCAGTAGAATGTCCTGACGTAGGTGGGACATATTAAGGCTACATGGAAATGTTTTCTCACGAGTTATACAGTTCTGACGATCATCGATTCTCACATGTGAAATATTCGACTGTCATCCCGAATCACGAGATTTTTCGAAAACAACGTTGTTGTTGTCATAAAAGCTCTCGAGACCATGTCTTCAGCCTCCAAGACCAGAAGCTGCAACAAAAAGAAAAATAATGACTGTGGTGCAGGACTTCTGACCGTGCATTATGGCGTGCACGATTCCGCGGACCGGCCTGACCGGCGTATACCGGGTGTCCGATTCGCGCTCGTGAAAGAACCAGCGACCCATCCGGTGGCCCTAGCAACGCACATGCGCCCTTCACGGGCTCTCGTCTATCCAGTTTCTCTCTCCGGATGGTTGGGGATTGGCCCGGAGTAACACCCCCTCATAATGGGTTCACCCGTCCGCGCTGAACGCGGGAGAACGGCCGAGAAAGAGATGGAACAAGGGGGTTGAAAGGGTGTCAGAAGGAGAGAAATCGGGGGAGGAAACGAGATGCGATGCGGTAGAACGGAGAGAAAAAGAGAGAGAGAGAGAGAGAGAGAGAGTCAAAGACTGAGAGAACTGGGGAGTGAAAGAGAAAGGATGAAAGACTTGGTGAGACGGGAGGGAAGAGGGCAACGGAAGCCATATTGATTTCCCTATGTTTCCCCGTATTGTTACTATAGCGCCCGGTGAGGGCGCGAGGAGAAGGCAGGTACCACCCTCGTCAACCATCCCGCGGCATCCACCACCACCGTCACCGCCACCGCCCCCTCGACAACCACCCCACGCAGCCACCCCGTTCTGTTCTTCGAACGCGACGCTCGTCCGACGAGAGACTATGCCGGGTGGACGTAGATTCTCTTCCGGTCTTTCGTTTCTTTCTATTCTGCTCATTTCTTTTTTACTCGCGGGGTGGGGAAAGGGAGGGGTCTCGCGTACCCGAGATTTTCTACGTTAGTCTTTCCTTTATTCTGGTATCGGCTGTCGTCTTGTTTCGCGACGTCGAGGTTTCTGGAGCGTGAATTTCTGGGGGATGGGGGGGTCTCTGTTCCGAGACACTGACACGTCATTCTCTTCAGGGGGAGCGTTAATTTTGACTTTACGTTTGTTTCACGATTGATTTATGTCCGTGGTATCTCATAGAGCCCGGAACATCTCCCCCCGATGTCGCTGTACGGTCATCAACGGGATACCATTCGGTCCAGCACGCACGCAACCCCCTTTCGTGCGTCGCTTAATATTTCTCGTAATGTCGAAACACCCCAACAACGTCCACGGAAGAGCACCGAGGAGAGCGTAGACACCTGGGTGGTCCATGGCACGATATCAGCTGCGAAACTTCCCAGACGTCCCGGTTTTCTGTGTCCTTTCGCTCTTCTCCGCTGCTCGGGGGAAACGAACCCAGGGACGAACAGTAGGAGGGAGGGGGTAAAAAGGACGGAGAGAAGACGAGGGACAGGAAAGGGCCCGTGAAAGAGGGATGAGGATAGTGAACCCGTGTGGTTGTTACCTAGTGATGCATGGCTCGGTAATAGCTACAATACAACCAGCTTACAAGAGGGGTTCCGTTTCCATCCCGGTCCGCCGACTTGAGATTTATCGCTCCCCCGTTGGATTGCGGATTCCCAGATTCTCCGGTTTGCCCTTATAAATGACTCCTATTAATTGACCGTGATGCAAGGTGGGAAAACAGTGGTAGGATGGAAACGAGACGTGGAATAAACGTGAAGACAGACACCTTCGTTCCGCGCGTGATGTAAAGATATTAGGTGTGCGTCTTGGGCAGCTTTCCTCCATATTCGTTTGTCAATTAATAGGATAGTTGCATTAAAAGCCGCTAAGCTTTAAAATATAAGTTAACAACAATGGTTTAATATACATTTTCCTAAAAAATAGAATTACTGAACCTTCGCAGACCTTAGAAGCCCTTTCCAGCCCTGCTTAATGGTCCCAATTTAATACAAGTATACCTTCTCACAAAAAAGAAAAAAAAGAGCATTCAAGGGCATTGTGTTTTCACGAATCTCGCCTTCATCTTGTAGCGCGAAATTCGAACCGAAATATACGATTGTAATTGGAATAGGAAGTAGCTGTGAAGCTGGCATTATTTAAAAGGGTATTCGAACAAAATTTCACTGAACACCCAGGTGTTTTTTAAATGTTCACACCACGTTTGCAGAGTGTTTCTGTTTCTACTTCCATCACAATAATTAATCATTATATTTCTGGCTTTCCCTCTCGCGAAGGTCTTGTCTCCCTAAATCCAATCCCGCAGTATTTCTTTGGGTACTCATTTAAATCGCAAGCATACTCAGGTGTCTTGCGTCTTTGTTGCATACGCACGTTCATCCCCCTGTTCTCGCAACTCGATCGAGGTTCCGTGCTATATTCAATCTATCGACGCGACGTCCGCGACTTCGACGCGGCGGGTGTCCGTTTTCACCGTCGGCGTGTCTCGGTGACGCAATCGTCCCCCGGTCGCGTTTTAAAGTGCCAATCAGGGGGATGAAAAAGAGGAGGCGGAAAGGAAGCGAGAACGGCTCCCGACGTCCAGGAACTCGTGCAACGGCCACGTGTCCGGTCCTCTGCGCGAAGAATGAAACCAGACACACCCACCTTGTGCACGCGAGCGCTGGGACCCCCGTGACCGTGGCGCGTAATCCCCCCCCCCCCTATAAACGCGATCTCCCGTTCCTCTCGGAGCATTAAAAGCGCGCTAATGCACTTAATAGCGAGTTGCCGTGCGTGGCCACACGAGCCGCCGCGTGAGAACACGCGTGGGCGGGGTAGTTGTCAAAACACACGTGGAAATTGCACGGTGGCCCTTGGTGGTGCCCCGAGATTCCACTCGACTAGGAGGGGAAGATTCGTTGGACCGTTTGTCAGGAAATATTCTCTCTGTCCCATAATGGTCGGTTCTTTGGGCAGTAGGGATCGTACATCCCCGTGGAATTGTTAACTGGCGTAAACGAGGATAACGATAGTTGCGAATCTGACGAATACAAATTGTCTAGAGTCCTGCTGGGAAGGATCATCGTACGCGTTAGTTGGTTCGAACTCGTGAAATTTATGTAAAATCATGCGTAATGGCGTATGTGGTCAGTCCCTCTTTGATGCGGTAACCAGCCGTAATAACGTAAGATTGAAGGTCGCAGGTAACAGAGGCGATCCACAGCATCCTCATAACATGTAAAACACCGGGATTACGGGATAATAACTAGCTGGGGCCGTTTGCGTTTGTAAAGTTCACCGGTCCATGTGGATCCTGGAGTCGGAGGTGTATGTTTGTAGGTGAGCCATGGATAGCCAGGCGATAATGAAACGCCGTGGTGGATCGCAGGGTCGACCGCGTAATTCCGCCTGGTCGAAGGCCGTGTCGGAGTGGACACTGGGGATTCTCCGGCGCGGTACACCCCCCGTGGCTTTAATATCGCTTTATTAACCCACTTTGGCTCGCGAGACGGGATATCTCTCGCCGTGATTCTCTCGATCGTAACCCATTTCGCCCAGAGAAGGA